CCTTCAATCCTCTTGGTTCCCCTGTTCCTGCTTAACAGCCAGTAAGTTGTAGTAGTCCTCGGTCACGGATGGGGATGCAGGATCATTGAGGTTCGCTTCTTCTGACCATTCGTGGCTGGTGTCATTGTCCTGCCAGTAGTCCTCTGCCCAGTCATAGCCAGTCCAGTCATAGACATCCTCAAAGCTCTCGTCTTCGCCGTAGTAGAGCTCAGGCCACCAATCTTGCCATGGGTCGTCTGGTGAATATTCTTGCCAGTAGTTCTCATTGGTTGACGACCATGGATCTTGGTGACTCTCGGAGTCATGCACGGTCCAGTCCTGGGCGTAGTCCTCTTCAATGCTGTAGATCTTAGATCCCGACGGAGCCTCATAGTAGCTCTGGCCTTGGTCTTGTTGTCGTGAGGCGAGTCGTAAGGCCAGATTCTTGGCGTCATCGAAGCGCCGCATGTCGCCATGGATCTGGAGCAGGATGTCTTCCACATGCTTCTGAGGCAGTTGAGATGCCCTGAAGAAGAGGAAGGTTTTGGCGACGTTGTTGATCTGGAGCCCGGCATGTGTGATCGCCTCTTCAAGCTTGAGGTTCCACTCGACAGCGAATTCTTGAAGTGAGAGTCGTCCTCGTCGCATGTCGAAGAAGGTCTCCAAAGATCTCGTCGCCTGAACCTGCTCGGCGTCACCAAAAGCCTCTTTCAGCGCGTTCATCAGCGCTTGGACTCCAGACGGGATGGGGTGCTGCAGGATGATCGCCTGGTTCATGGGATCACGAACTTCCTCGACTGCCAACCTGACCAATGCAGCGTCTCCAACGTCCACGTTGCCTAATGGATCAGGAAGTCGAAGGGAGTGAGCGATCGTCTGCGCTCTGCCCTGCAGACGGCCTGCGATGAGCGGGCCAACCATCTCGTCTGGTCCTTCGAAGGTCCTGTACCACATACGGATTCGCTCCATGTACAGCTTCAAACTGTATGTGGGATCACCAGGACTCCATCCAGGAGGAGTGTCCTTGCGGAACTCGCCAAGTGGGAGTCCGCCTGGAGGCGGTGCCGCCTGTGACATGGCGGTGAGCTCCTTCGCGATGTCCGGGATCGCTTCGTAGAGCTCGAAGAGGTGGTTGTTGGCACCCAGGAGGAACACAAAAAGAAAAGCGCAGGTCGAAAGGGAGGCCGCCACCATGTGCGGAGGCGCAGGATGCAAAAATGCAAAAAAGACCCTGGATGGCGCGGTACGACCGATCCGAGGGGTGGAGCCTCCACTGAAGGAGGCTCCGCTACCAAACACGGTAGCACTCACTTTGTGCCTAAAGGTCGACCTGCGTATGTCGGGGTGAAAACTGTGCATGAAAACTTCACTCTTCCTACTATCAATGCACACAGGAGACATAAGGAGATGCATGAGATGCACAATATCATTTGTACATTCAGATGAGTTTCATATGTTGCTTCTTCTATCCCTCTTCTTCTATACCCAGACCATCCATGTACAGAATAGTTACTTACATTACATTCGGATGAAACAGGTGCACCTCCTGCACAGTCACAGATCCTGGGGGTTCTCGAAAAAAAGACGCGTCCCAACCGAAACACATGGCGAAACCGTGGATCTCCGTGGGTCAGGAGGTGAACAGAAGGGGTCTGAGACGCGCGCCAGGCTTCGTAGGTCTTAGGGGGTTCAATATCTTCTCATCTACCATATATATATGACTCAAACCCAGTGCTTCCAGTTTCATAAGCACTTACAGGAAGTCCAAGTGAATCGGTGTCCAAAAGCAAGGGAATTATAGACTATGACCCAGGAGTGCCAAAGGGGTGGTGGTTCGAGGCATACCCATGATCCATACCACCTCTTCGGAAATACGTACTTTTCCTATTTCGACCTTGAGTCATGTGCTTGGACAAAAAATATGACAAGATTCGAGACCAAACCTTTCTAGTGCTTCAGAGTCAAAGCCAAAGCCATGTTCAGGGCTTTCAAGCAGAAGGTGTCTGCTCCTGGTCCAGCAAATACATCTCAAAATCTCTCAAATACTTCCTTCCACATCTGCCCTCTTCTCAAACATGTGGGAAAAGCTGCGATACAATCAGTCAAAGTCCCGAATTTGGATACAGGCTGCAACAGGCTGCAAATTATGAATCCTTCCAAACAAGCTGTTGCGTCGTACTGAAAGATAGAAGGTCAATCTGTTTGAATATGTTTGAATCCTTCCAGCTGCATGTTGACCACTTAGAATGCCCAAACGGCATGTTGAAACACTTTTTTGGAATGCCTATGACATTCTGTGTGCACAACTTGAGCACAAGCATGCAAATAGCACCTTTCACCTCATGCTTCAGAAGAGATGACTATAAAGCTACTCCTCAGCAACATTGACCCACAGCAAAAATGTAGTGAGGTCTGTCTCGGGGTGCTTCCAATGCCTCCTTGGACACACCAATCTCCTACACTAGCCAATCTCCCCCAAGATTGATGTTGGATTGTTTTTGATATTGCTCAGTGGTGAAGTGTTTGGCGAGTTGTGCTGTTATAAAGTGGTTGTGCAGTCAGTGTTGTGTAATGTGGTGTCGTGAAGCACAACTTGATCAGATTTTCCACATCATATGCATCATACTATGAATCATACATTATTTACATTTCTCTATACGAAACAACCTGCTGGTTGATTGTAAAGATACCCTTTCCGTACGTTTGCACTCTATACATTGATTGATATACCAATGAGCTATCAATCACAGCCAAAACAGCGTATTCTACGAGTTTTCCTGGAAAAGAACCACAGAAACTCACCACAGTTGATCTTCACCTGATGACCTTTCAGCGGTGAACGTTTCTTCGCCCCGTTACGAGGGTCCGCCGAAACGCCCCATCACTGGGCTGCCAGGCCGAAGGATGAGTGGCTCTTTACAGGTGACTCCAGCCTTCTTGGCCTGCGAGGTGAGTTGGAAGCCTGAAGGCAATCCAAATGGGTGCCCCATTCATGGATCAAAAGAGGTCTGCCAGTCTGCCATCTTCTTGACGGTTCGTCATGCAGGTTCGGAACACTCGTTTTACTATGTTTGTGTTCATGTTTGTTTATCCGATCAGGAGCGTTCATGCGTTCAGTATACTTTAAGTCATGAACGAGTTCTAATCCTTGGGCATTGGCCCCATTGGCTTGAGGTTCTACGTGGAAGGAAACTCGCTGATAGGTCGCCTGAGGTTCTACCGAATCGTCGCTAAAAGGGCGATGAAGGGCACCGATCAAGGGGTGAAAAACGGGTCCGCAGTGAAGATTCCAACCTTTGCAGGGATTGCATCTACAACTATACCGGTACCGGGACCTTCCACCAAGTCCGGTGGTTTTTGGACACCCCTTCAACTCTAAGAGGCTATTTGCAAACACCTGTTGGAAGGTCCTGGTATATGATTATATATATATATATGTGTACATATATGGCTTAAACTTGCTTCCGCAAGCCACCACCTGGTTAGGGTTAGCTGATTGACTGCACATGTTTCTGTGATCTTGTTGTTCTGGGGAGTGGAGAGTAGTTTCTGCCATGTTCACCACTAGATTCTTGACATGTATGCTATCATCGAGCTCACTGTCTCTATAGAAAACCAACTTGAACGCGAACCCCAACTCTAGACTCTAGCAGAACCGCCCTTCCAATGTCCTGCCCCTTAACAGGCAACCCACAAAATGACCCACCAAACCTGAAGCCAACTTCACTGAGATTCCCTTCGGGGGATGGGATGGGTTGTTCCATCCTGGAGCCCCAACATGTAGCTCGCCCTTCGGTCAACCGGTCTCCCGGTGCCATGACCGGCCTCCACGCCCGGTGGACACCGGACACTCTGTAGCGGCGCACCCGTGTCGTGCGGCCCACACGGTGCGGCCCGACGCTTAGACCGTTCTCACGCGGCCTGTGGGTGGTGCTCGGAGAAGAAGTTGTAGCGCAAGCCGAAGTGGCGGCAGATCGGAAGGGCCACCTGGACCACGGGTCCGGACCGCAGGTCCGGGTCCGGCCTCCCTTTGGTCGGTTGGGTCGGTGGCAAATCGATGGTATACATGAGGTGCAAAGTGGACACATCGACAGGTTTTGTGAAAAGGGAGAGTTCAAGCTCTCATTTTTCTGGAGTCTCTTCTGCAACACCATCACAGTCTCCGCATACAAACCGAGAACAGCTTGGTGAATCCAAGTTCACCGTCCGAAGCGCCGTAGAACCCAGGTAGAACCATGTATTCTTCGAGTCGTGCCGGGCACCTTGCTGTTCAGCTCATGCAAGGTTTGCACGACTTTGTCCCGGTTCTTGAGTGCCACCTGACCCGGTTGCAAGGATGGACAAAGGTCAACCACCATCCAACAACCACCCGAGAGCAGGGCGCCCTGTTCAGGTGGTATTCTGGACCATTTTAGACCATCCCAGCCCCCACCCTAAGGACCTTCTGTATATCCTGTATTATAAGGTACTTAGAGCCCCGCAGGGCTTGGAGAAACTGAAGCTTCCTGCCATGTCACGACTCTTGTTTTTTTCTTTTTCCGGGTGCATTCGCCGGGGTGCCCATCTCCACGATAATTATATAAATGGGATTGTTTTGGTCCTTCCACAACGTGGAAAAATGAAACGTTAATCCCCCAACAAATCTGGCTGCTCTCGAACTTGTTCCTTGAGTTCTTCCTGAAGGCAGTGGAGTTGCCTGCCACATGGCAGTTTTTTGGTACGCTGGATGAGCAAAGCCAAGTGGACAAAACACCTGGAAAACAGTTTGGCATAAATATTATCACATTGTTACACCAACATGATGGAAAAGTTGTGATTGCAACATGTGATTATATATCTATTTAATCTTAACGTATCACTAAGTCACAAACCTGAACACCTCCAGAACGTCTTTTGAGGCTCCAAACCACCAGCTAAAATATCTCCATGATTCACCATGTAATAGCTGGATCTGTTGCGTCACTCATTCTCATGCATACGACCCCAGCAAAGGAAGGTACATAGCAAGGTTATAGAAACATTATCTGAAAGCGTTGCTGACTAACACAACTCATGTTTTAGTAAT